ATCTTTATGTACTGAAATTTAAATTAAATGTAATAGCAAATACTAGTATCTCTCTCCTCCCCAGCCCTGTAAAATCCACACACAGAGTCCTAGCTTAGAAGCAAGATGCAGGCTTTGGGTATCCTTCAGCCCATAAGGACCCACAGGCTATGTGCACAGTTTCCTTGCTGGCAATTGTTTTTAAAAGAACTGTGTGATAGACATGTATGCACAACAATTATGGAGTAACTAGTGTATCACTCCCTCTTGATGTCTGCCACTCACGGGGACAATAAAAGAAGTGAGATTTTTTTCCTGAAAACAACTGTAGTTTTCATTTCAGGGCAAGGAGAGACAGACTTGGTCTGACAAATTGTGACTTTTTTTATGTAGGGAGTTTAGCCTGTCCCAGAACACCAAAGCAGGCCTAAATCACCTTATATCAACATGTAGTAGTCTAGCTTAAAACTTGAGATCCAGATTTAGAGCTCCTGCTCAATAAGAATACTATGCTGGCACACAGAGGAACCATACTGGTACCCCAAACTGCACTCAACTTGACATCTGAGATGGAGTGTCTTCTAGTTATGCTGATTTAACAAGAAAAGCCTAGCAACCAAACTTATGCACATAATCAACCTCTTCCACTTCTCCCTCTTCATTTCAGTCAACCTTACACATGAACTAAGTCTAATTAACAAATTTTGCAATGATCTGCAGATTTTTTTTTCCCCCACTTTAGTATTTCTACCTTTGCTAGCTCCTACTTAAAGTATACCCCAAAACCACAGTGCTTTCCTAAAAACTCCCTCTCCATGGCCAGTCTTGTAAGGTCTCAGAAGACATAACAGCAATTCATCACTTAGTCTCACTGCTCTTGAATATAAATCTCCTGCAGGTAGTGAGAGAACCAGGAAGCTTATTTTCACAAGTATCTACTGGTATCACACCATGAACACTCCCAGTGAGCCTTAAGACCACGTTATCTAATATATACAAGCAAGGAGGGAAATAGGCATTTTTTACAAGTCTAGGTTATTTTTTAAAAAGTCACAGAAGAAATTACTTGAAGTGATTTAAAAAGCCAGTGAAATACAAACATTTTTCCCCTGCTGCTGGGCAAAGATAGTATAAGTTGCTTGGCCTTAGTATAGACTTTTTAGTACAGACTCTTTATACATTAACAATGTTCATGTCACTGCTGGGGGGAGGTGGGAGGGTGGAAATCAGCTGCCATGGCTGAACTTTTTTATGGTACAAGCCCAAGTCTAGCATGCCTGAAAACACTGAGAGATTGTGAGCTATATAGTGCATCCATGTATAGATACCTTTATTCATCTTCTGAGTTTATTGCCCCCACCCCACCCCCCCAGCTCTCTTTCAGTTTCATGACTCAGAATGCTAATTGCCCAGTTTTTGTTTAGGGTTGGCTGACTGGCTGTCAAGCCAATTCTATTGCCTATTTGACAAATGAGCTCTTTCGCCTCCCTGCAACGGCTGTAAGGAAGGTCATGAGACTCTATAGTGTGCTTTTTTTCTTCTTTATAACAAAGTTTAAAGGGGACAATTCAAGCCAGCTTAGCAAAAAAGAGAAACTAGCCACCAAACCCACAAATCTACCCCAAACTGTTTTTATCTGGCAGCAAACGGGACTCCTGTAAAACATGGATTATTTCTTTACATCCTGCATTTTTAATGTGGCCTGGCACACTATCTTTGTATCTCAAAATATTCTGTGAAGCAGCAAAAGTATGTAGAAGTTGATGGCTGGGTTATAAAACAACACAGCTGGATATAAAGCCACACAATTCAAGATAGAAGTAAATCAAAATCCTCCCCACCACCAAATCAGTTTACAGTAGAGGAGTCCTTCTGAAGACCCAATCCTGCAAAAAAACCTTACAAATTTATGTTTACACATTAAAAAATAGCAGCACCAAGCTCAACTTTGATAAAAGACTTAGTTCAGTGGGACAGCAGCTGTCTTCACAGAATGGTTGAGGTTGGAAGGGATTTCTGGAGGTCATCTGGTCACCTAGACTTGTCTGCCTAGGACCATACTCAAAAGCAGTCTGGATATCTCCAGAGAGGGAGACTCCACATCATCTCTGGGCAAACTGTGCCAGTGCTCAGTCACCCTCACAGTATAAAAAAAAATAAAATAAAATGTTTCCTTATCATAGAATGATAGAATCATTTAGGTTGGAAAAGACCTTTAGGATCATCGAGTCCAACTGTCAACCCAACACGACCATGCCCACTAAACCATGTCCTGAAGTGCCTTGTCTACATGTTTTCTGAACACCTCCAGGGATGGTGACACCACCACCTCCCTGGGCAGCCTGTTCCAATGCCTGACAACCCTTTCGGTAAAGAAATTTTTTCTAACATGCAATCTAAATCTCCCCTGACACAACTTGAGGCCTTTTCCTCTCATCCTAAAGGACGAGGATGTTCAGAGGGAACTTCCTGCGTTTCAGTTTGTGCCCATTGCCTCTGTCACTGGGCACTACTGAAAAGAAGCCTGGCTCCATCCTCTTTGCGCTCTCCCTTCAAGTATTTATATACATTAAGATTCCCCCAAGCCTGCTCTTCTCCAAGCTGAACAGTTCTAGCTCTCTCAGCCCTTCCTTGTAGGAGAGATGCTCCAGTCCCTTAATCATCTAGGCAGCCCTTTGCTGGACTCTGCAGTACATCAGTGTCTCTCTTGCACTGGAGAGCCCAGAACTGGCCCAGGTGTGGCCTCACCAGTGCTGAGTAGAGGGGAAGAATCCCACCCCTCAGCCTGCTGGCAACACTCCTAATACAGCCCAGGACACCATTAACCTTCTTTCTTGCAAGGACACAGTGCTGGCTCATGTTCAACTTGGTTTACACCAGGACCCCCAAGTCCTTCTCTGCAAAGCTGCTTTGCTGTCTTATAGCATACCATTACAACAGCCCATAATGCCCAAGGGATATCCAGGCTAGCCTTAGGCAAGGAGCAGTCTAGCTAGAGCAGTGCTTTTCAGTTAAGTTACAGATCTCTCAAGTCTTCAGCTTCACCTACTTGGCTTTCACCTCACTCCCCAGCTGCAGCAAGAATTCTGGGATGTAACTGATCTGCCCCCCACCAAGTTGCATAGAGCCTATGAGTATCTGGAACTTGATCTTGCTGACTGCAGCTTCTGGCCATTGCCTGTCCTCTAGAGAGCCAAGTGAAAGAAATGTCTCAAATTGGCTTGACACAAGTCCATTTTTCCATAATTCTTGCTACAAAAATCAAGTCTGTGCTCAAGAGCTCTGCCGTTCAGCTATATCTATACTATATTTTGGTTGATACAGCCCTGAACTGAAACAGTCTACACTAAGCACCGCAGGACACAACAGTTAGAGAAGCTGCGGAGAGATGCTCGCTTTCAAGGGAAGACCTGTGCTTTAAAACAATAAACAGTATTTTAATTATTAATTTTTATAGAAAAACCTACTACATATACAGCCTGAGCTAATGCATATTAAACTGGTCTAAGTGGTTTTATTTGCTTGTCTTAAAAACAACATGGCATTTTCTCCCAGTTTCAGGATCTGATTAAAAATGGTTTAAGATGACTTGTAACAGATGTCCAAATCTCAAGTAAAAACATGAGCCTTTGCTTCTGGCTATTTGCAATTACGAATTGAATACATTTTTCCTAGGAAGTGGTGGGGGGAACCTGTCCGATATAGAAAATATGTAAAACCTAACAAACCATTATTCTGCCAGAACACCCTCTAGCTGTAGGACTGGCATATTTTAGACTTCAAACACTAGACTATAGATCTTTTCCCTTTACCTGCTCATTCATTCTAAAGAGGAATCATTTGTGTTACCTACTGAAATGATACAAAAATCTTAAAATCTCTTCTAGAAAGCAACTCCAAAATAAAGTTTTTCTCTGGGGCTTAGACAGGGGTATAAGCTCTTTGAGTGTGCTTAAAGTATTAAATAAAACATGTTTTTACATCTGCTGAATGAAATAAATCACAGCACCTCTTTCCAAGCCTATTCAAACCATCCAACATGAGTATCATATGGTATGTAAATATACATACATATGGGTGTATACAGTGTGAGTTAATTAATATCCCATTACTATTTGTAATTATCTACATCCAAGGCACATGCATAGAGCAATTAGAATCTAAGTTAACAACTCACTTCTGAACCAGCAAAATTTGTCCCGAATTTTTAAGCAGCAAAACTCCAGTGCTTCCAATGTGTTATTTGCTCTGCTGCAAGCGCCAGGTTTTATGCCTTAAGTGAACATTAATTTGTAACTTAATCAGTGTTTTTCATTAAAAGAAGAGAAAAACATTATGTAACTGAATATCATAGCACCATTGTTATCAGCCAGGTTTTATTCTTTTCAATCTTTTAAACAAAGAAGAAAAGGAAACTCTGGCTTTAATTTTAGCTGTTACCTATTCGCAAGCCAAGCTCTTCATGCAGTAACCCAACACATACTGACTTGCTTTGTATATTATGTCTTGATATTTTATCTTCTTCCCAAATTCTGCAGCAAGCAAACTAAAAATTAGGCTCCGTTTCACAAATGTTTTCTCTTTCCCCGTCCTCAATTCTTCTCATTTCCAAGTTGATTTTACAGTCTTGCAACAGAGAGTGTTCTAGTGGATGGTTTTATTTCCACAAGAAAAAACAACAGTTATACTGCCTCAGGTTTGGCTTGGTTTTCAGGGCTCGTTTTGCTCAGTAGAGTGCTCTAGTACCTGAGCTGCAGTTTGAGCGTGCACGGATTGAAATGGTTATTTTATGTGCAAGTGTCAGCCACGATTTCTTGCCAAAGCATTCTTGGGAAAGATACCAAGGACCTTCCTGTAGGTGAGCCAAGCCAAGGTTTTATTTGACAGAGAAGCTTGATTTTGTTTCAGTAGAAACTGTGTGTGGACACATAAAATGTGCAGCATATTACTATTCCAATACTTCATCAGAAAAAGAGAGAGAAAGAGGAAAAATATGGAGTTTGGTGCTGTATTCAACTTACCTTTTCATTCCATGCCCACAATCCAATCCCAAGAAATGCTATGCCAAGGAACTAAAGGAGAAAAAATAAAAATGTATCAGAGCAGGAACTATAAATCTGTGGATTTTTTTTTTTTTAAACACACATCTTGAGTCATCCTCTCTGTTGGATAATCAATGTTATCAGGACTGTGGGGGCTTACTGAGAGTTTTAAAGTATGTATGTAGTTGTTTATTTTACAACTCAACCATTGTAACTGGAAGAATTTAAAACTTGCACAGCTCATTCAGGGATGTTCCACATAGGAACAGTAGATGCAATAAATGTCACTTTCTCAGCATCAAGCAAGTAAGGTTCTTTTAGAATTTGTCAGACTCAAAGCAAACTCCACAGCCAAGTACCACATTATTTTTTACTGTTGTATTACCACCACCTGCACAAAACAACTGTCCTCACAGCTCTCTCCCAGTGAGAGAAAGTGATTAAAAGAAAGTCCTAAATATACATGTACTATCAGTTTTAGCAATGTTGTCCACAAAAACACAGAAAGCTGTTTATATAGAATATAACCCCTGATTTCTGGGGAAAAAATAAAAATAATACTGGCCTAAAAAGAGTAAGAATTTTTAAAGACCCTGAAGCCAACGTTTTATAACCTTTCTGATACTGAATGTTTCTGTATTTCATAAAGGAAGTTACAGTCCCTTTCTCCTCCAAGGGACTCAAAAACACCAAACTCAAAAGACACTGTCTTTCCCCCATGATGGAAAAGGGAACAGCACCTATGATTTTGTTAAATCCCTGTATTCTCTCTTTCACTGAATAGAGTGCATCATCTCCCTCCAAACACTACAGGGTTTCTATACAAAACCCACACTAAGGATCAGTGAAACAAGCAGAACAGGTAGAATAAGCAATCTATCTCCCAACATCACCACTGCATATTTGGCATGATACAGTACCAGTCATGCAGGACGTTTAAAAAACATATAGTAGGTGTCCAAGCACATCTCTAAATGTCCATGCGTCCAACTTTCATCTCTGGTTTTTAAAACCTGAGTGCTGGCTAAAAAGAAAACTATATTCACTCTAGTTTCGGGGCATGTAATAGAATGTTGCTCAAACATCAAACTCTGGTTTTCTTTGTGGTTTCCCCACACTGCAGTGTACAGATTTATTTTGGCACATAGTGCGCTTTCTCTTAAGATTTGTGGAAACAGTTAAGTATCCTAATGATTTTTCTTTTGCAGGAAAAAACAGGAAAAAAGTGTTTTTCTGTTGAGAAGTGGGAGGAGGCAGGAATATCAGCTTAAAAGGATTTCCCAGAAGTGATTTCAACAGCTTCAAAACAAGATTCCTTCTTCCTTATACGCACTTCTTCAAGTGGCAATTTTAGCTTTATACTACAAGAATATCTGTAAAGTATAACTCAGTATCAAGTGGAATATGCTCACTGCAATACCCTGAAGTTCCCTAACACCCCTCGCATCTCTGTGACGTTCTCTTCCAAGTGTGTTTTGCCAGCTGACTAAGGGACCATGCATACTACACCCAGCCAGCTCACCCAGAAGCCCATCTATGCTAACTGGGAATAAAACTCTCCTGTTTGTCTTGAAGAGTCATGACTGTAAATATAAACAATACTACAAGCCAGTATTCTTCAAACAGAACTGTTGCAGGCTTGGCTGTATTTTAATACAAGATAAATGGAAATTTTTCCTAGGTGGAAAAACAGAACTGCTGGTCCAAAGAGTCTGTTATTTCAGCAGCCTTAATTGCCTACAAAGTAAATGAGATGGATTTGAGAATGTCAGTACAGCCTCCTGTGATACAACATGTGAGCCAAAAAAGGTCGTCTTACCTGTATCGAGACCGCTATTTTTCTATGGTTATAAAGCTTGCCAGAAGAGTGTGTGTAATCCTCCTGACTGCAGTGATTATTTGAAACTTGAGATAAAGCTGTACAAGTTTCCAAATCACTTTCAGACAAATGCAGTTAAGTTCTTTTTTGCAGTAACAGGCTCCTTTCCTTCTTTCTTACACAGCCAAAGGCACCAAGGTAGAAGGAACAGGAGTGAGAGGAAAAAAGCTTTATCATTATAAAAGTCCGTAAGCTGCATTTGGAAGTGGCACATTGTTATTTGTAGAGAGGTACAAAACAGTACGTTTTGCAAATAGCTTAATATGGTTTTGAACAGAATATGCATGGAAAACTAGAATGAAAGAATTTGATCAGTGCATACAAATGTAACTTAACAGCCATACACATCAACTGCAAGTCTGGCTCAGATCCACTAGCTTTAAATTTAATCCAGTCAAGTATCCTGTTCCTTCATCAGAAGTTGAGGCTTAAGGGTAAGATTACCTCATGGGTTCCAAAAGGTGAATTATAGTTGACTATACAGGTCTCAAACCAGGCCAAGCTCATCTCAATTTACGGATTGGATAATAAGACTGTACTATACTAAGCTGAAGTACCTAAAAAACTGAGATTGTCAAGCTTCTGGCAAGCCTGTCAAGAAAAACCAGGAAAATGAGTTCTCAGAGTTTAAGAGGACCAAAGAATTACATGCTGCTCAGTCCTCTCCATATCCCCAAAAAGGAAATCTCTGTCCAGTTGCCTTTTAAGCAGCTGATTAAACAGGAAAAACAGACAAGATCCATTAGGAGAAAAAGGTTCAGGATAGAATCACAAACTTTATCACAGAATGCTGTGGAAATCAAAAGCTTAATGGCATTTAGAAAAATCCATAGCTATTGAAAAGTGATTTTGATAAAGCTTCTGGCTCAGGAAGTTTTTACACTGTTTCTTATTGGGAGATTATAATGAGGAAAAGATCACTGTACGCATGCTTTGTTGCTTAAATACCTCTTGCCTAGGACAAACTCTACTTGCATTACTTGAGATAAAATACTGTACTAGGCAGACCACTGACCTAACCCCCTACAATCATGCCCTAGGAAGGCCCACTCTTGCACAAACACAGCCTGCTTTAGGGATGAAGCACACAGGAACGCTCTCAGTAATCCCCACTGGCAGAAGACAGATGTTCATGAGGAGACTTACACCTCTCACCAGGATTAACTTTGGATTTTTTTGACAATTATGAAATAAACTCCTGCACGGCCTAAAAAAAAGTTGAAAGTGCTTAGCAAAAATCCCTCTGAATTTTTGCTGGTAGAACCAGAACTAAAACAGGACACATATTCTGCTTATCTTGCAGCCCCTTCTGCAGATGTCTCCAAGACAGTCCTGTTCTGCTTGCTTGTAACCAGAAAGAATATCTCTTCACATCTGAAGCACGTGGGGGGATGGTGAGATGGCATACACATCATCTCAGTTAAGTCTGGAAAATTTCATTTACATCCATTAAATTATTCCAATGAGTAATAAAAAGGTGGAAGTTTGCCTCATTATCTACAAAACACTAGAGAGAAAAACAGTCTCAATTCTCCACAGACATCTAGTAAAACCATCTAGCCCGACTATAAATGGTCACCAGATCTGGGGCAGAGCTTATAAAATCTTGATACTTTTCTTTTTTAAACAATAATTTGCAGGAGACTATTAAAACATTCCTCTGGAGTATTAGGGTCTTACAAAAAAACTTGCGTAGTAGTACTTTCTCAGCCATAAGTTTTCTATTCACAAACATCAAATGTGTTTAAATTTCTCTTCTGTAAAGATTATATGTATTTAAGAGTAGAATGTGTAGCAGTACTTGTACTGTTGCCCTACTTGTAAAGTTCACATGCAGCTTTCAGAAGTGGATTGATCAGTAAGTGCTTCAAGCTGCACATATCTTATTCCCAGTCTCACCTGAATGGAGGAAAATGCTTCTTTGTTGCTAGGGATACAGCATCATACAGCACAGCATTTCATTTAAAGGGTGCTGGGATAAATGCTAATGCAAATACTAGAAAAAGTTTGAGAGGAGCTTAATTGTAGAGTGATCAGACATTACTTTGCATACTTAATTTTTCATCTCAGCTGACATTCTTAAATAACCTGGCACCAGTTTTCAACCAAAAGTACGACAGCCGCAGGCCAAGCAGTAAAACGTTGGTTAACGTGCCACGTGCATAAACCAGTGTATGTTCATGTGTGGATACATGAAAGACTTGTACGAGAAGGAACTATAGGGCAGGCATCTAATTTCACCTTCACCGCAACAATATAAACATGCTAGCAGAAGCATGTCAAAATTGTCTGGGTTCAGAACCAGAGCTTCCTCTCTAAAGTTTTGGTTTGGTCGGGTTTTGCGGGGGGGGG